AAGTTGTACTACAAAGTCGCCAGTTCTCATCTTCCAGCTCCCCAGATACTCCGCGTACTAAAGTTGTACTACAAAGTCGCCAGTTCTCATCTTCCAGCTCGCCAGATACTCCGCGTACTAAAATTGTACTAAAACGTCGACACGCACGATCTCCGCAGAGGGTTGCTCCGGACCGGGTCAAAACGCACTCTCGCCTGCACTTCGCGCCCTCGACGCGAACGATCTCCGCAGAGGGTTGCGTCGGACCGGACAAAAACGCACTCTCGCCTGCATTTCGCGCCCTCGACGCGAACGATCTCCGCAGAGGGTTGCGCCGGACAAAAACAAATCGCACTCTCGTCTGCATTTTGTGCGCTCGACACGCACGATCTCCGCAGAGGGTTGCGTTTCGTGGCGGTCCGGCGGCACTGCCCCCGGTCTTAAGAGAGGAAGTTAAGAAGAGCGAGAGGTGAAGATGTGAGACGTAGATGAGAGGTAAAGATGTGGGATGTAGATGTGTAGATGTGAGGATGTGAAGATGAGCAGACATGTAGATGTGAGGGTGCGAAGATGAGCAGAGATGTAGATGTGCAGATGTGAATGTAGATGTGAACATGAGCAGACATATAGGTGAGAATGTGATTGCGCAGAGGTGAAGATGTGAAGATGTAGATGAGGTGTAGTTCTGCTGAAGATGTAGATGAGGTGTAGTTCTGCAGATGTTTTTTTACGAAGAACCCTTCGCAGGCGCTCTCGGGAAAAACAAGAGAAGAAAAGAAAAGAAAAATGCAAAAAAAAAATAAATAAATGCATGTTTCTTACAAGAAAATCAAGGAAAACACCTGAGCTGTCTCTTTCCATGGCACTGATCGATCCCTCGCGTCTGAGCTGCAACTGCCGAGGTGAAAGGATGGTGAAGGAGGTGAGCCGGGCAATGCGCACGACATGGCCAGTCGAAGAAAAACGGTACAGTAAGAGTCCAAAGGGCTCAGGTAAGCCTCCGCCCTAATCGCGATGGCCTCCAACCCTAGAAGGCTCCTAAGAGGCTTCTTGAGGCTTCTGACCCTAACTGGAATTCGTTCTTTCGAGGCCACGGCATCAGCACTGAGAAGACCACGGCATCCGCCTAGACCTTCGTCGATGACTTAAACGTCCTCTTGCTCCCAGTAGCGATGCCAGGAGCCCCTAGTAGCGTCCTTGCTCCTAGTAGTGGGGCCAGGAGCCCGCCCCTAGTGGGGCCAGGAGCCCCCACAGGAGCCCCTAGTAGCGTCCCTGCTCCTAGTAGTGGGGCCAGGAGCCCGCCCCTAGTAGCGTCCTTGCTCCTAGTAGTAGGGCCAGGAGCCCCTAGTAGCGTCCTTGCTCCTAGTAGCGATGGCAGGAGCTAGTAGCGTCCTTGTTCCTAGTAGTACGGCCAGGAGCCCCGTTCGTAGCTTCCTTGCTCCTAGTAGCGTCCTAGTAAGGCTCCTAGTCGTAGCGTCCTTGTTCCTAGTAAGGCCAGGAGCCCCGTTCGTAGCATCTTGCTCCTAGCGGCGATACCCTTTGTTACTAGTAGCTTCTTATTACTAGTCATGAGGACATTTTCGTCGACTGAGGTTTTACTTAGTTGAGCGTCTTGTGCTCAGTTTTGTCTGAGGTTTTTGCTTGGATAACTCGCGTCCTCAAGAACCTGACAAAACACGCATCGACACAGGTTATTGATGGCGTCAAACACATGCTGGGTGGGCAGAAAAGGGCAAAGAAGGGCAGCTCTCTCTCGCCCGCTTGGCTCTCTTCGCTCTTGAAGCACCTTGAACCCAAGCACAGTTCACAACCAAAATCACTCTCTCTGTCTCTCCGTGTCTCTCTCTCTCTCTCTCTCAAGTGACATCTTCACTGTTCTTCACTGTTTCTTGCGGTGTGCGCTGTTCTTGCACTCTGTCCCTGACAGGAAGGTTCCATTCAGGTACGAAAGGACAGAGCAAAACGCACTGAACCGAACTCAGCAAGGAGATGAAGCAAATCGGTTTGCCAACTTAGTTGTGTGTGTTGCAGTGAGGTATTGCCTTCACCTTTTAGCAAATTCAAAGGTTGCAGTTTGCGCAATTCAAAAATCAGCCTCGGCACTGTGACAAATTTCAGTGCTCGGCGTTTACAACGATTTCACGTGAAACGATTTCATCGGTCCACAAGAAATCTACATGTCCTGCAGCTGCTTTGCTTCACACAGTGATGCAATACATGTGGAAAAGTGTCCCATCCAAGACTGCAGCTTCAGGGAGGATAAACGAAGATAATAAGCAAATTTATGGAAACCCATTGTTGGCTCCGTACTCCCTCAGAGTGCTACTTGAACTAGAAAGAGTCAGAAAGAGTACCGCCAGTTGAAAACCATGCAATTTGCATGGGAAACCAATCCATGCGCAAATCCATGCGCCGATCCTTTAGACTAAGCAAAACGGATGAGGAGGATGGTGGTGTCGTCAGAGAGTTCATCGCCCTCCATCCGTCTCACAGCCTCAGTTGAAAAGGTTTGCAAGCGAAGCGGCGAAGCGGTACTTTGAAAAAATGTTGTCCTTTACTACTTGGCCCATCCTATACTTAATTAAGGGAGCAGTTCGCTACTAGCCATAGGAAGCTCCTAGCTAGGACGCAGGATAGCTCACACTCGCACTAATCAATTGGTTCCTAGATTTTTAGGGAAACTGAACTCGACGTTTTGCACAACTCAAAAATCCTCCGTCCTCCGTCAATGCTTTGAGAGCAATGGATGGCATATTCTGGAATTTGGCCACAATGCGAATCACCTCCCGGGCAAAACCAAGACATTAAAAACCATTAAAATGCAAAAACCTGTCACATGGGATATGTTAAATTGCGGATGCTGACAAACAGCCTGAGAGAGAAAGAACATACAACATGGCTCTATCAAGCACAAGCCTATCCTTGGCGTGCCAGCCCCTACACTTCAACCTAGTAGCGATGGCCTCCAACCTAATAGCGGTGGCCTCTAAGCTAATAGTGATGGCCTCCAAGCCAATAGTCATCCAACCTAATAGCAAATTATTGTTCAGATTTGAGCAATGCACTAAGAAAAGTTTATTGGATATGGCCTACTAGGAGCAAGGACGCTACTAGGGGCTCCTGGCATCGCTACTAGGAGCAAGGACGCTACTAGGAACAAGGGGCATCGCTACTAGGAGCAACTAAGTGAAGAACGTAACGGTTCAGCTTCTGAACATGTTTCTTGCGTTCAACACAGGGCATTGCATACGTGAGAATCACATCCTGCCTCCTGATTGTCAAGGGAGTCCCACAAGCCATCCGTTGCTATGATGAGGAACTTGTCCTAGCGAGAGAAAGGCGTCACCACAGTCCGGCCATTTCAGGGCCGTGGTCGCGCTCCTGTGGTTGCAAATGGTGCTTTGTTACCTAACAGCAAAAACACGCAAAAACATGCAAAAACAACCATCTTCTCCCTCTTTCTCCCTCTCTCTCTGACTAGCAACTTAGTCATGAATGTTTCGCGGTTTCTCTCGTTTTGATATCACGTTGAGGGTTCAGCCACGGGGATCGCTGTTACACCTAGAGCTCTGGCAGCACCATCCCCCAGACTCCGTGACCTCGGGATGCAAATAGAGACTACTTCACCAACCCAAACAGACTACTTCGTCACTGTTCGTTTGTTGACAAAACAGTTGAGTTCGTGTCTTTCTTCGAGTCTTTTTCGCTGTAAGTTCACCCTTTCGCGAAACGGACACTTCTTGAACCAAAACATTGAAAAGGAACTCTTTCGATTTGGACCAAAACGACGTAAATCTGGGACGTTTTTTAAGGTCATGGCACTGCCAAACCAGGCTTCTCACAAGCAGGTCCATCCCACACCTAATTAAGCCGACACAAAAGGAACAGGGAAGAACCATAGGGCCTGCCATAGGGCCTTTCCGGCACGTTTTCACTCCTCTTTTTCCAAGATTTCGGCTCGGAATGGACCAGCCTAAGTGAAGCCAATAACGAAATCAATGTTCTTAGGAGAAACCATTTCAATTCTTGAAACAATGTGTAAAGAACAAAGAAGGAGAAGGAGAGCTGCAATAAAAAGGAAGAAAAACTTGTCCAAAGAAGAGCCGCACCTCTACTCCTTCATCATCGCGAAACTGACAAACGGTTCCTGAAAAAGATATCACTAAGTAAGCAGAGTCACCAAAGAAAAATTTAAGTATATATTCAAAAGAGTCACTAGTACCTACTAGTACTGACTTGTGAACAGGGACAACTAGTCTTGGTAACCTGTCCAAACGCAGCTGCCCAACTGTTTTCTGCTCAAGAGTTCCGGGTCGTGTGAGACGGCACGTGAAGCTGCTGGCGCTCTCAAATAAACGCTCTGTTCACTTGAGCCAAAACAAGTGTCGTGAAACAACTGTACACACACGCAAGAACAAAGAAACAAAGGCTGGTAGGGACTGTCACACCCGCCCCGGCTCTCAGTCCAGCCCGACACCAAGCTTTACCACTCCGTGTGGATGCATCCGGAAGGATGTCCAATTTGACCACGACCACCATGTAGGCCTGCGGAGGTGCAAGCACCAAGCAGCTCTTGGCGTGCTGGATTCCCTTCAATCCACTTCCGATCTTCACTGACCTGCCATCTTCCTGGTAGGTCTTCGCGAGCTTTCCTCCGCGCGCCATCTTAACCTGATGCCCGTGGCTCCTGATCTCCATCAAACTCTGCAGTTGCATTTTCGTTCGACTTTCATGCGTCTGACCTGCTAGGATCTGGATCCTCCCTTTGCGCTGACCATCGACCTCACTAAATCAGGCTGGTCCAGCGAATAAGCGGTCAGGTCGACCTCTATGCCTCCTGTGGGGGCCACGCCCTTGCCACGGGCCGCTGGCTCCCCCGCACCTGTGTCCTTTCCCTGGACCGCGAGTTGCCCCTCTTCTTTGACTTTTCCGTGCGTCAACCCCTTGAAACATCCACCACCCGATTTCATTGAAGTGTTCGGCTTCTCGAGGCTAAACAGACGTTGAGCCTTGTCCACCATCCCAGTGAAGCAAAGAGCTCCACTGACGCCCATTTCTCGAAGGGCTGCTGCACCTCTGTCCTTTGCCGTTGAGGCTTCTTCAAACTGGACGGCTCTAGCAGGAACCAATCTTGGTCGACGGCGGCATCGATGTGCCCGCACGTCCCTGAGTCGATGAAGCCCCGGCAAGCGCAAGCTGGCTGACGAGGCGTCGTCAACCTGATCCACACCACACGCTTTCCTTTTGAGGGTGTGAGGGGGAGGTGTGTGTCTCTTAACGCACTGTGAGGGCGGAGGGGGGAACAGAACGCAGGTTGTCTGAGACCATCAGCCTTATATTCCAAAAGCTTGGTAGGCAGGGAATTCCCGCGATGGGCTCTGACTAGCCTGTTGGCAACGACTCTGCCAAGGAACCACAGCGCAATGATCCCAAGGCTCAACAGCGCGGACTTGAAGATCAGGCCCGTGACCTCAATGCTCTGAGCCGTCGTCTCCTCAATCTCACAGATCACCCGGGACCCGAGGCTCTGATGCTGTCAAGCACCTCTTCAGCCTCCTGCTCGCTCCTCCAGGCGAGCGGCGCCAAGCTTGCAGCTACCAGCACCTTGACCGCCAGGTCAAATGTGAGCCCATTCCCATTCAGCACGCGCTGCAGCTTGTTCAGCAACTTGCGGGGCAGAAGATGCTCCTTCCAGCGCCTGTTCACCAATCCCTTCCTGAAGCCAATCTTAACCACTCTCACGGTGGGAAGGCCTTTGACCCCCCGCGGCACCGTGTGCCCGCGGCGAGGTTGATGGTGAACAATCTCACACCGGCACACCTTCTTTTTGTTGTGCTTCCTGCCACCACGCTTGGCTTCAGGCATCCGGCTGAGCGTTTGTTGCGCACGCCTGTCTCTTTCTGAGTCCGAGCTCTCATCATCCCCACGATGTCGACTGCGGAGGGTGGAGCACTGGTACATTTGATGCGCGAGAGCATGTCCTCTCCGCCGCATGCGTCGCATTCCCACCTACCAGCTGCAAGGGCCTTAGCAAGAAGAGTCGAGAATTCAGCCTTTCTCGCAGCCCGCTCTCGCCTCCTGATCTCGCGGTAGAGTTCGTTGGCCCATTCAGTAGAGTTCCAGAAGCTGTCGTCGCGCACATAGCTGTATTCATCTCCTGGCGCATTCACTGCACCACGTATGTGGTGGACCCAAGACCCCCATTCGAAATGAACCGGCCTCAAGGAGACCCGTTCCCTGCTCGAGGGTTCAGGCGGGGGTTCATCCGGATACCGGGCGGTGAGTCCGGACTCCTCGGCCTCCGAGGCGGTGAGTCCGGACTGCGTGGTCGCAGGCTCCTCTCCTTCCTCGGCGCCATACCCTCACGTCTCGAACTCACACCCCTGACCCGCAACCGGCTCCTTCCAGCGTCGCCCCTCCACTCATGATCCCGTCCGGTCGCCTCTTCTTCATGAGACCGCTACTTCTTTTCCTTCAGGCTTGAGTCTCTTCCTTCGGTCCCAAATGGCCTTTCTCTGAATTGAATGACTTTCCTTTTTGCGCCTCTCTCTCCTGCCGCCTTGGCTTCTAGGTCAGGGGATTCGGCTCCTTCTTCTACTTCCACCAATTCAATTCCTCCTCCTCATCCTCAGTTGGCTCTAAGGTTGGCTCTTTTTCCCTCACGCTCACCGGCCGCAGACGGAGCTGCTCCTGGCTCTGTCTCTGAGCCCCGCTCCCAATGATGCGTCTGCTGATTGCGGCGCTCCTTCTGCTTCTGGTTATTCTTCTTTCTCAGCTTCGGGAGGCGCGGCCTTCCGGCCCGCGACCTCCTCCACCACGACTTCAGCGTCCGCAGGCGCCTCTTCCATTTCGGCCGCCCCTGGCGCTCCCGAACCTGATCCTGCAGCCTCAGCAGGCGGTTCCTCTTTCACAGCTGTCCCCAAAGTTGATTCATCAGTCGTGGCATCGGTGTCACCATCTGGAAGTTCGATGAGCTCGGTGGACCCTTATATTCCCGTATGGACCAGCTGGAACCCGATTCCGTGATCTCCCCTGAAACTTGACTAAAGACCCTGGGCTCATCACCGATTGAAACAATCCGGATTAAACTTTCCGGCGGAGCTTCTAAAGCCAGGAGCACGGAGGACACCCCGCGCTCACCATCCGCTCCATGGTAGAGCTTGACTCCACGCTCCCACAGACGCCGCGCAGATGCCTCTACCATGCCGTCGAGCCCGCACGTCGCACCGCTCCAGAACAGTCGCATGCCAAAGGGACACGTCCCCGTCCAAGCCTCGTTCCGCAAGGGACTGGTTAGTCACCGGTCTCCATGGTACACTGGCCTGCGTCACTGATTCCGCTATCCGACAAGTGGCCTTGCACTGCCCGGATCCACCCATCCCAGTTCCGCTGCCTTCTTCATGTGGGCAAGTGGCACCTGAAAAGCGCAGAGGACGCCTCCAGGCAGCCTTCCAGATCCAAGTGACCTCGGCGCTTCTACCCACCATGTCGGTAGGCCTTCGTCATGGCGCGCCCCATCTCCCCAGAATCTTCCCAGTAGCGCTTCCTGCCCGGAGCGCTCCACGCCTTCTTGCCCATCAGGCCTGCAGGGCGAAAGTCCGCGGCCAACCGCGTCCGACTCCCGACTGCGGTAGCTCTGAACAGCGGAGTGCTTCCGGGGAATCCAGAAACCGAAGGACCAGTGACCCGCGGGTTGCACCGCGTCCACCGGCACATTTTGGCACGCTCTTCGGACTTCGTCCTCCGCCTGATCGTCTGTCAGGTACTTGCCATCAACCACTCCGCATGTCCTGACCGTCAGGTCGTCAACATAGGCCACCCACTCTCGGGTGTACTTCATCTTCCTTCCTCTTCCAGGAGCGTATGCCCGATCCACGACATACAGAAATCATCCGGCCCATTGACCGGGCCAAAAGTCAAGCTAAGCTCCGGACCTTTGCCACATGTCCAAATTCAGCCGGCAAGTACCCTCTGAGCCACTTCCCGCGCCTAGGACCTGTTGAATGTGGACCTTCTCCTTGAGCGGGGGAAAACCCACCAGCTTGGCACCTTTCGGGATCAGGGAGCATACCATGCCTCCCAATGAGATGTCCGAGCAACTTACCACGCTCGACGCAGATCTCAGCCTTGGGAACACCAAACGAAAAGACAAAAACAATCGATGAAACAAGGTGGTCCAACAAGAAGGGGTCAGCCTTCGGATGTCCTTAACTGCTCATGGTAGTAATCAGTGGGGATCTCTTCGCCTTTTTTTCAAGTCCCACTGATTCCACTATGTGGAGACACAGGTTCATCTTCCAGGCAACCTCGCGTAAAGAAAACCGCGACTTTGCAGTGCACCAATTCCCCTTCCACTCACTGGGAACTGATCGATGCCTTTCCAGGTCACAAGTGCCCAACAATGACCACCCACTGTTGTGCATGACAGAAACCGAAAGGCATCGCTACTAGTGGCAAATAGCTACTAGTAGCTCCTGGCCTTAC